ATTAGGGTGGAGGGACACTTGGACACCAACACAGAGACACAGGGAGAATGCTGTGTGACAACAGAGGCAAAGCTTGGAGTGATGGAGCTGTATGTGAAGGACTCTCCCCTGGAGCCTTTGGAGAGAGCCTGGCTCTGCTCACATCTTGATCTCAGACTTCTAACCTTCAGAACTGTGAGAGACTAAATTTCTGTTTAAAGCCACCTGGTTTGTGGCACTTTGTCACAGTAGCCCCAGGAAATGGATGCACTGATCCAGCACCAGGCACAGCAGCTGGCACTTAGAAAGTATCCCGTAAGGCCGGGCACAGTGGCTCACGCCTGTAATCCCAGCACTTTGGGAGGCCAAGGTGGGCAGACCACCTGAGGTCAGGAGTTCAAGACCAGCCTAACCAACATGGAAAAACCCTGTCTCTACTAAAAAAATACAAAATTATCCTGGTGTGGTAGTGCATGCCTGTAATCTCAGCTACTAGGGAGGCTGAGGCAGGAGAATCTCTTGAACCTGGGAGGCAAAGGTTGCAGTGAGCCGAGATCGAGCCATTGCTCTCCAGCCTGGGCAATAAGAGTGAAACTCTGGCTCAAAAAAAACCAAAAAACCAAAAAAACAGTGTCCCGTAAATGTACAATGCCTGCCCTTAAGGAACTTTCTGGGCACTAACATGTATGTCATTCACTTTTCCTTACTTCTAGAGTTGTCTGCATACAAACCTTCCATGTCTTGGGGCTTTTATATCTGTAGAGAGGTGGATCCAAGATGGCCGACCACTAACAGCTCAGGATTGTAGCTCCCAGTGAAAGCCCAGAGAACGAGACGACGCCACACTTTTAGACGAATTTTCGTCACTCACCGATCAGCCGATTCCCAGTGGAGGAGCCCCACGGGTCGCCAGCGTGACTCTTGTGGCCGCCGCAGCGGTTTTGCCGGCGTCTCGGCGCAGCAGCTCTTCATGCAGAGCCAACGGGACTGCTTCCCCTACTGACCGGAGTTTGGCGCTCCGGGAAGTCAGAGCCGCTTGTTGCGGACTCAAGAGGGAAGCCAGACCAGAGATTCCCAGGCAGAAGAGCACCATCAGTCTTATCGCTGCTATTTAGGCTGCCACAGTGGGTTGCTCGGATCCCAGCACTGGGAATCAATAAGTTGGATGTCGACTCAGAAACCTAATTAGAAAGGCGGTTCATCTACAATGAAGGGAAAAAAACAGCCTAAGAAGGCCGAGTATACTCAAAATCAGAACCCATCAGCAACGGAACAAGCCCTGATGGAAAAGGACTCATCAGCAACCGAACAAGCCCTGATGGAAAAGGACTCATCAGTAACGGAACAAGCCCTGATGGAAAAGGACTGTGCTCCATTATCTGAAGTAGGCTTTAAAAGGTGGATGATAAGAAACTTCTGGAAGTTAAAGGAACTTGTTCTAACCCAATGTAAAGAAACTAAGAACTTGGAAAAAAGGTTCGATGAAATGTTGAAAAGAATAGACAATATAGAGAGGAATACAAATGAACTTATGGAGTTGAAAAATACAACACGAGAACTTAGTGAAATATGTACAAGCTTAAACAGCCGAATGGATCAAGCAGAAGAAAGGGTATCAGAGGTCGAAGATCAACTTAATGAAACAAAACAACAAGACAAGAATAGAGAAAAAAGGATAAAAAGGAATGAGCAAACTCTCCAAGCAATATGGGACTATGTGAAAAGACCTAATATACGCTTGATTGGTGTACCTGAATGTGACTGAGAGAATGAATTCAAGCTGGAAAATACTCTCCAGGACATTATCCAGGAAAATTTTCCTAATTTAGCAAAGCAGGACACTATTCAACCCCAGGCAATACAGAGAACACCACAAAGATATTCCTCAAGAAGACCAACCCCAAGGCACATAATCGTTAGATTCACCAAGATCGAAACGAAGGAGAAAATATTAAGGGCAGCCAGAGAGAAAGATCAAGTTACCCATAAAGGTAAGCCTATTAGGCTTACAGCAGATCTCTCAACGGAAACCCTACAAGCTAGAAGAGAGTGGGGGCCAATATTCAATATACTTAATCAACAGAACTTTCAGCCCAGAATTTTATATCCTGCCAATTTAAGCTTTACATTTGAAGGAAAAATAAAATCTTTTAGGAACAAGCAAGTACTCAGAGATTTTATTACCACCAGGCCTGCTTTACAAGAACTTCTAAAAGAAGCATTATACACAGAAAGGAACAACCAGTATGACCCTTTCTAAAAATACACCAAAAAGTAAAGAGCATTAACATAAAGAAGAATTTTTATCAACGAAAGGACAAAATAGCCAGTTAATATCAAACGGCAGCAACCCTAAATTTAAATCGACCAAATCTCCCAATCAAAAGATACAGACAAAATCTAACGGTATATCCAAAGATATACATAGACTCAAAATAAAGGGTTGGGAAAAAAAAAAACATACCAACCAAATGGAGAGCAAAAATAAATAAATAAAAAGCAGGAGTTGCAATTTTCACATTTGACAAAATAGATTTCAAAGCTACAAGGATACAAGGGTAAAAGGATTAATGTAATAATAAGAGATCTTAACACCCAGATACATAAGACCCATAATGAGATTTAGATTCAACGAGACAGAAAATTGATAACGATATCCAGGACTGGAACTAAGATCCAGAACAAATAAACTCAATAGAGCTCTCCATTTTAAACACACAAAATATACATTATCCACAAAATCTAATGATATATCTAAAGATATACAAAGACTCAAAACAAGGGGATGGAAAAAAACTCACCAACCAAATGAAGAGCAAAAATAAATAAATAACAAGCAGGAGTTGCAATTCTCACACTTAATAAAATAGATTTCAAAGCTACAAGGATGCAAGGGTAAAAGGATTAATGCAACAATAAGAGATCTTAACACCCAGATACATAAGACACATAATGAGATTTAGATTCAACGAGACAACAAATTGATAACGATATCCAGGACTTGAACTCAGAGCCAGAACAAATAAACACAATAGAGGTCTCCATTTTAAACACATAAAATATGCATTAACCACTTTAAACACTCAAAATATTGATCGGCCATTATTGAAACCCATTTTAGGAATGAAGTAATATTCCTTTTTCCCTCTTTTTCTTTGTTTTCCCTTCTTTTTCTAAAAAAAAAAAAAAAAAAAAAGAACCCATCATGTACCCAGCCCTATGCTGAGGTGCCTACAGAGCCCAGAGTTTTCACCAACTTGTTTTTTAAGAGATGGGGTCTCACTCTATTGCCAGGTTGTAGGGCAATGATGCAATCATAACTCACTGCAACCTCAAATTCCTGGGCTGAAGTGATCCTCCCACCTCAGCTTCCCAAGTAGCTGGGACTATAGGCACACACCACCCTGTCCAGCTAATTTAAGAAAAAAATTAAGGATAGGGTCTTGCAAAAAAAAAAAAAAAAAAAAATAGAATTTGGGCTTTTAGAAGCTGGACTGTTCCCTGGCTTCATGAAGTATCCCTGGTATGACTTCAAATGACTTCATAGGACTATTTTTCTTCCTGTGTTGAGGTGCCATCACTGACCAGCCATGGGAAGAACATTCAGTAAGTCCCCAGGGAGACAGGAGCTTCCCTGACGGTGTCAGGCCTGGGGTCAGAGGATCCAGGGATCTAGACTTTTGCCTCTTTCTCTGGAAAGGGCAAACGGCTCCAGGGCCTGCCTTGGCCTCTGCTCAGAACTCCCCGGGGTCTTGTCAATGTTCATCTGCTCCCTCCAGTGTCACTAGCAGGGAACTCATTTGATTTCCACAACCTGGAAGGAAGCAGAGCAAGGTATCATCACTTCCACTCCACAGATGAGGAAACTGAGGCAGTTTGCACGACGTTGCATAGTTCACAAATGTCAGAATCAGAGCTTAAAGTCAAGTGTGCAGATTACTAGTCCAGTTCTCATGTCCTGGATCTCCTCCTGCTCCTCCTAGGCCAAGAAGGAAGGCTCCCTGGAGGAGGGGATACTTTGGGAGAAGGAATCTCAACAGGCTGACGGTGTGTGTGTGTGTGTGTGTGTGTGTGTGTGTGTGTGTGTGTGTGTTTCCAGGCTTCTGCCCTGCAGCTGGCTTGCCCTTTGCCATGAGACCTTAGCGCTGGAAGCCTGGAAGGCTGAGGCTAGGCGGTTCTGCCTCGGCTCCCTTTTGATCTTCTCATCTTGGCGCTGGGGGCACTGCCTCCTTCCTCTCAGGGCAGGAACTGCAGCTGCACAGACCCTGCAGTTCAGATCCATCGGGGAAGGTAAGAATCCTCATGCTCAGGCACTGACCCTCTCTCAGCCCACCTGAGGCTGGTCCTGGATAGAAAGCACCTGGCACCACACCAGCCCAAATGCACACCTGAAGGGAGCCAGGTGGTGCAGGGGGTGCCTGAGCTCTCTCACGGTGCTCCAAAATTCAAGTCCTAGATATCTGTGTTTAATATATCAGGGGAGAAAAGCTGAGCTTCCTCTGCCCTTATTACACACCTTGCCACTCCAGCCCAAAGTCCAGTATCAGAGAGCAAGGACAGTACCTTTGACAAATTTGTGCTTTCAGGCTGTGGGCACACAAATGTTTGCTGAATTGAGTCTAAGATTCTCCCTTTGGGTGGGGCGGGCTCTACCAGGGGCATGCTTTGTGTGCTGCTCAGAAAGCAATGCCCCGTTCATCTCAGCGAGGCCTACTGGGGCGGTGGGCCCAGGGTGGGTGTTCTGAAGCCCGGGAGTTGGGAGGGCTCTCCTGGGAAGGAGCCCAGAAGGCGCGGGCGCTCTAGACCCGAGATTACGGTACCTGCGCTAACTTTTCCGCTCAGCTTCTTGCCCCCAGCCCAGCTCCCCGGCACCCCGGGCCGCGACTCCGCGCGAGGAGGCGGCCCAGCGCCAAGCTGGTCCGACTGGTTCTGAGCAGGAAGTCTCCCGCCCTCGCCCGGGGCAGCCCACCAGCCCCACGCCGGCCCCGGGCGTCCGTCCGTCGGTCCCGAGATCGGTCCGACGTTCCACCCAGCGCTTGCGGCCTCGCGGCGCGGCCGGCCAGGGCTGCGATCAATGCGGCTTTGTCTGGGACGCCCACACCCCAGAGGCCGCTCCTGGGTCGGCAAATCGGAGCGCGGCCGGGGCGCGCGGGGGTGAGATAAGCGGCCATGTGACCCCACCTGAGCAGGCGGGGGAGGGGCTCCAGGTGAGGCGGCGGCCGGCGGGGCGCGGGCGGCCACGCGGGGCTCCTGCAGCATGTCTGTCAGCAGGAAGGACTGGTCTGCGCTGTCCAGGTGAGCGCCGGAGGGAGCCGGGCGGGGCGCGTGGTCCGCGGCGCGCCTTTGGGTCTCCTCTCCCCGGGCGCCAGCCTCCTCCCGGCCTGGGACCCTGGCACCGAAGCCGGACCCTGGTCTTGCTGAGACTCGCGGGAGACAGGATTGGGGCCAAACTCGGGACCCCTGAGGTTACAGGATGGGTCTTCTCCCTTCCGGGCCTGAGGCTCCACACTGGGTGCTTGGGGAAGGCTGACGCCCCCTGGGGTCGGGCCCCCCTGTGGAAGGTGGGGACGGGAAGGAACGATTTGGGGGGTTGTGGAGGTGTTCACAAGTAACCTCCAAGCCTCATTCCTGAGAGAAGCCTCCCTCACTGTCCCCGTCTCTGGCGGAGAGGACCCCTGGGAGGTGTCCTACAGCCCTTCTTGAGAGGGGGAGCAGGGAGCGCCGCCTTGGATGGGACAGTGAAGAGGACTTGAGGGAAACAGACCCGTTTTCCACTAAGGAGGCTCAAAATCTCAGCATGGCATTTTGGGGTGGCGTCTGGGCAGGGAACCTTAAGATAGCTGCCATCCCCATCTGTGCTGCTGCATTCTGAATTTGTACACTGGTGGTCCCTAAAGGGTCAGGGGATGAGGCATCCTATCCTTGCCTGCTGGACATCCCATCAGAGTCAGAGAGGCTTGGGGGAAGTGGGTGTTCAGAAGGCAGCAGCCCTCCTGGAGATTGGTGACATCTAGCGACCCCGCTTGGAGCGACCCCACACCTCTCCCAAGAAGGCCCCCTGTGAGCATCTTCACTTCATTCCTCTACTTGGCGCCCTCTCCCCCATCTTGTCCCTCGGGAATAGCCCAGAGCTGGAGTCTGTTCTTCTGATCTCTTTCTAGCCAGACAGACACTGACCTCTTGGCCCCTCCCAGGTGGGCATTTGGGTCTTTTCTTTTTTTTTTTTTTTTTTGAGATGGAGTTTCACTCTTGTTACCCAGGCTGGAGTGCAATGGTGTGATCTCAGCTCACTGCAACCTCCGCCTCCTGGGTTCAAGAAATTCTCCTGCCTCAGCCTCCTGAGTAGCTGGGACTACAGACGTGTGCCACCATGCTCAGCTAATTTTTGTATTTTTAGTAGAGACAGGGTTTCACCATGTTGACCAGGATGGTCTCGATCTCTTGACCTCATGATCCACCCACCTCAGCCTCCCAAAGTGCTGGGATTATAGGCGTGAGCCACTGCACCCGGGTCTTGGCTTTCTCTGAAGGTGCAGACCGTCACCTTCCAGCTGTCTGGGTCCTGCAGGCCTTCCCCATCAAGGCATCTTTCACAGGTTTTTCCAGTCCTCTACCCCACTCCTGCCCTTCTTTAAGGGCTCCAGAACTACCTCATTGTCTCAGGCTTAGCCTCTCCATGGCAGCTCATCCTCGGAGGCTGGGGGGCCACCTCCGCAGACCCTCAAGGCCTCACAGCTCTGAAGCACAGCTGCCCATTAACCCCTTTTCAGGCAGCCCATGGGGTCTAGAGAGGGGAAAAAGTAAGCCCCACGAATGGAGGGAACTCAGTGCTCTGGAAGAGAAACCCAGGCTGCTACAGAGGAAGGTCTGTGCTGAGGGTGCAGCTGAGGAGTCAAGGTCTTGGACTTTGCATGTGGGTCAGTGTGCCTGGGGGTTGATGTGGGAGTGTCTTTGCTTCTAGATGTGGGCCTACCGGTGCCTATGAATGTATGCTTATGTGTGTGTGTTGGGGGGGGGTACGTGTGGACAGATGTGTTTATGGCCTTTGAAGAGATGAAACATCTGTGTGGGGAGTTGGTTCTTGTGTGGCTAAATATTGAGCTTGTCACTCTGCATGTGTTCAGTTTAAATGTTTATTGAAGACCTCAGTATTGTGCATTGGGTTAAAAATACAAACCAGACACTCCTTCCTCAGAAGTTCAGAGTCTGGTGGGATATATGTGATTTTGTGTCTGAAAGCATGCCTGGATATGCATAGGGGGTGCGTGTGGGGGGAGGCAGCTGGGGCACTGGAACTTCGAAAATGGGAGCAAGGTCTGGCCTAAGCTTGTCCGCTGCTCAGATGGACATGGCCTCATGTGGCTGTAGCCAAGTTCCCATGAGATGTCCAGGGTAAGTGCCAGGGAGGCCCTGGGGAACCAGTCCTACCACTGGGGCCCCTGGCCGGCCCTCCCTGCCCGGTCCCAGCCCTCATAGAGCCCTGTGGGCAGACGCAGCTGCTGCCAACAGTCACCCTGATGAGGCACCTGGAGCAGAGGACCGCTCCCGCTCTGCTCCTTGGGTGAACAACAAGCCTCAGCCGGCAGGCAGGAAAGGGCTGTGAGTCATTGTCAACGGAGCCTCCTGGGCTGGGGAGGACTATGCTAGGGTGTGACAGCGTGGTCCCAGGTGGGGAGGTGGGTGGGTAGCTGGGGCCAGCCGGCAGCCCATCCTTGGCATAAAGCAGAAATTCAAGTCCGTCAGTCCTGGGATAGGGCAGTGGGAGCTGGCTGGCTGGGTGTCCTGGTCAGAGGCTTTGTCCTTTTCTCCCTGGACTGGCCTGGTGACCAGTGAGGCTGGGCCAGGCCTGTCTGCAGGGGGTGAGGGGTGGATCTGGGAGTGCCTGGGACTGAACAGCCAGTGGTTAATCATTTCCCTGCCTGGGCCTTGAGCCGCCCTCCTACCTCCAATCATTGCCCTGGGTTCTCCCGACACCTCTCCCTAGAAGTTTGGGGCTGGAAGAGACTCAGTGACCCCCGCCCCCCCCTACAGTGACCATGCAGAAGGGGAGTCTGAGGCCTGCCCTGCTCGGGTGCAGAAGACTGGCCAAGGTCATGGCCATGCCCACACCCATCTCTCCTCTGCCCTCCCTTCCCTAACCTCAGCCCCCAAGATTTGCAAATTATGCTCCTTGAGCCCCAGGGTTCCACAGACTGCTTCTGGGACAGCCTCCTCACTCTCTCCCAGCTGTAAGCAGTAAGCTGTAAGCAGAGCAGCTGAGCCTTGATCTGTTATATAATGGGCTTCTATCTGTGATTCAATTTGGGAAAACGGGTTCTACTGTTAAACATGACTTTTAACAAACACTTCACTTAAATCTCTGCCATCCGTTGCTGCAGAATACATGGAATTAGACTTCAGGAAGAAAATTCCCAGTATAGACAAGGTCTCTAGTGGGTAGCAGGGCAGAATATCCTTTAGAATTATTTAAGAGGAAAAGAGGATCCCTATCCCCAAAGGATGGAGTCAAAGTCTGGAGTGGGGAGGAGGATAGCAACATTACGTGGCATCACAGAGGAATGTGTGTCCCCAGATGAAGGCAGAAGGTGGGGAAAAGTGCTGTTGAGAGGGAAGGCGTGGTGGACAGCTGCCTGGGGCTCTGCCCTCAGCTAGTAGGAGCAGCTGAGCCTCCCCACCTGTTGGGGTCTGCAGGTTTCACCCTGAGCCTGGCTCTGGGGCTCAAAGGTCAGTGTTGCACTGGCCATGGGGTTTTCCCAAACCTCTGCCCTCCCAGGCCGTGCCCTGGGGCCCAGCCTGTCCCTGGGTGGGGAATACCACACCTTCAGATGCCCTCTTGGCCTTCTGTTTCCTCCCCTGAATGTTGAGCTGTTGAGCTCACTCTGGTTAGGGCCAGCCCTCCCTGGACATCCTTTTCTGGCACTTGGTATCATGGTTAAGGGTAGGTGATTTTGAGAGGCTGATACAGGTTTAAATCTTGGTTTCTTGTTTTTATTAGCTGTGGGATCTTGGAAAAGTTGTTAACTCTTTTGAGCCTCAGTTTCTTTATATACGAGATGGACAGAGTCTCACTATGTCACCAAGGCTGAAGCACGATCTCAGCTTACTGCAACCTCTGCCTCCTGGGTTCTAAGTGAGTCTCATGCCTCAGACTCCCAAGTAGCTGGGATTACAGGTGTGCACCACCACACCCAGCTAATTTTTTCTCTTTTTAGTAGAGATGGGGTTTCACCATGTTGCCCAGGCTGGTCTCAAACTCCTGGTCTCAAGTGATCCACCTGCCTTGGCCTCCCAAAGTGCTGGGATTATAGGCGTGAGCCACCATGCCTGGCCAGTTGTTTTAAAGGTGAGTGCTAGGGGTATTAGAACAGTTCCTGGTGTTAGAGTAAGCACTCCATGTTAGAGGGCTCACTCCCGGCCTTATTCCTTTAGTTATTGATTTATTCATATTCACCGTGTTCAACAAGCATCCAGCACTGTTTTGAGTCCTCAATTTTTTATTACTGTAGTTTCAACAGCTGCACCCACTGAGGCTCCTCCTGGGAACTGTCCTTTGCCCTTCCATCCGGTCCATTTTTATTCTAATAACTTGTGCTTATTGGAGATAACATTTCTCCCCGGTTGGGTGGTACTGCTGAAGGGACTCATTTTTTGCCAGGTGTCAGGGTTGAAGGCAGCCCCATGCTTCCCAAGCAGCAAAGGTGGTGGCCACATCATCTTGGGTGAGCTGTGGGGTCTTAGTATAAAGCTTGGGGATACTCAAGGATGTCTGGATTCTGAGTCCTGCAGCCCAGCCCTGGAGACCCCCAGGACCAACCTGAGGAGAGAATCAGTTCCAAGGAGACCAGGCTCTGAGTGTTCATGCACCATCTAGATCCTCACGGGAGGATAAATAGGCCACTTCCCCAAGGGCTGAGAGTGGCGTGTGGGAGCTGGGTGGCTCAAGACCCAGGAATCCTGGAGGCTCCAGCTCTGCCAGCTGTGAGTGTGGTCAGGGGAGAGGCACTTGGAGCCTCGTGGGTCACTTTCCTCAGTATGTGGATCCTTCAGCTTTGGGGGGCAGAGCTGTTTCCAGACTGTGGACAAGGGACAAGGGTGCATCCAGAGAAGCAGGGAGGTGGAGATGTGGCCTCACATGTGAGCCAGCAGAAGTTGGCATTTCTGAGTCTGAATAAGAAAACTGAGGACAAGTGGGACATTGGCGTCTGCCTCGTAAGAGAGCATCAGTTTGTGTGTAGTGAATAAAGGATGAATGAACAATCAATGTTCAATCTACAAATACTCAGAGCTCACGGGAG